CGCTAAAAGGAGGGTGAATTTACTTGCTGTAGTGGTTGAAAGACTGCTGTTGGTATGGGTTGCTTTGTTGTATGTTCTGTTTGGTGAATAACCATTGGTTATTGTTCTTCTATTGTTCAGAGGTACTGAACTATTCACGACAATTTGTCTTGGCTTTTGTGGAGAATCTGACTGCAGGTGTGCAGTGGAACTGTGCAAAGGTTCGCTTCTCGCCTGGGAAAGGTAGCTGTACATTAGATGTTACAAGCTGGATAGGTTCGCTTCTTTTCCTAAGCAATATTAATTCACGCTGACAAAAAGGTGCAAGTGAAATCTAGTAATTTGACAAGGTGATGGAGTCCTCCTTGTGGGAAGTACAGATTGCTGTCTTTCGCTTTCTAGCTGCTGGAAGATGAGGATGCTGTAAAGCACGTGGGGAGGAAAAGCTGCAAGCTGGATAGATCCTGAAAGGGGTTGCTGTGCTCTTGTACTCAGGAATTTTGAGCTTCTAAAATGGCTTCTCTCCCCCATCCCCCTTTGGCAATAGTGGGACCTTTTGGAGTTTTTTTATTCACTTTGATTACTATTGTTCTCAAGACCCTGTTGGTTTTATTTTTAAGCAGCTCGCTAAAAAGCGTGTCATAAAACTTCCCTGTTGTTTCTTAACGTGGAGAAAAATGTTGAAGAAATGAATTATTTACCATTTTTAATTGTCTGCCTTGAATTTGTTGCTCAAAGGAGTAGTGTAACCTCTGATTTAAGGTTAAGCATGACAAAATAGCATTAGATTAGTATGTTCCTCTAAGGAAAACTCGCAGCTTTTTTATAGTTACTAATATTTCTTTTAAGTACCTTTTGCGTTCTTTATTTGTGTAACACGTAGCTGCTATAATTTTTTTTTCACAGCAGGTCTAAGAGACCCTGTTAATAATAACACGTATGGGACAACATGGGAGTAATATACATGTGCTATTCTAATGCCCATATAGAAATGAAAATGGGCCCCAGACGAGAAGAAATAGCAAAAAGAAATGGAGAAGAATGGATGTCAGGTCCTATGCCATTTTTGTACTTTGGCTTCGTATAGAAGTTAATAACTCTCTTAATTCTTTTGTGTGGGGTAATAGCGTTTCCACATGATAACAATCCCAGAAAGGCTAAGTGCAGAGTCCTTTGGCTGCTGGTGCAGCTTTGTGCTGTTAACTCTTAGCTAACGATGTCAACCTGCAAGTAGGTGTGTGCTGCTTATTGTTTCTGGTCAAAGTGACTTTTTGGAGGTTTTAATGGACGCTTGTGTTGTTGAGATTGGAACGGTAATGCCTGGGTTTTTTTTTTTTTTTTTCATATTTTTATTTTTGAAGGTGGTGTGCTCTCAGCTTCCTTGGGTTTAATTCAGCTCTGGATTCTTGCCATCTCTGAAGATGAGGCTACCAAGCAAAACATTTTGATGTAGTTTTACTGCATCAGAATGTTCAGACTTTAAGATCACTTTCCTCTCATGCCTGGAAACTGCTTCAAAGACAAAACCGCTGTTACATAAAACATAATTCTCCAGGACTAAAAAATGAATTGCAGTGATAGGCAAATTATTTGAACTCTTCTTATTACACTAGTAAACTGTTAGTACAGTCAGACTGATAAATACTGTATCTGTTGAGTTTGCTCTGTGATAAAGGAAACTCTAATGTCACAGTCTATCAAATATTATAGGAAGAATTCACCAGTCGGGAGTACAGTATTGAAGGAACTTGTTCTTACTCCAGTGCTTAGATCAGTATAAATGCTTCTTTTTTCCTTTGTGGTCGGAGGTTTTGCCAGTTCTTACTGGAAAGAACTGCTCAGCTGTATATAGAAGGTTGGAGGATGTTGCCATATTGATTTCAGTACCACTGGTAGCAGCACGAGCTGCGTTGTTTCCCTGCGGCAATAACAGGGGATCCTGACAAGAGCCGAGACTTGCTGTGGCTGTACTTTTCACGTATCCCAGAGGCTGCGCGTTGTTAGTGGAGGGGTCTGGAATGCCACGTGGAAAATCAATCAATAAAACCTAAGCCTTAGCCACTTATACTTTTAAGGAAAATTAACTGGAAGCGTAACACTTTTAAAAATGAAATTGAAGGATCTAAAAATGCTATTACTTATCTCAAAGGTGAGGTGTGACTGATAGGGGAGCGGTTTGAGCACTGAAATTTGACTCTGTTGCTGATGTAACTGTCAGATGTTAAACGCCTCTCTTGGGGAGAAACTTCAAAATTATTGGTACTTTCCAGGTGCCCGTAAATTTTTTCCCCACTTTCATCTTGCTTGCTTGTTATTTAATAGTTATTAATATTATTAAACAAGCGATTAATTGAAAAAACACACAAATGTATGCATCTTAAGCTGAATGTTTTTCTGTATCAGTTCAGTGGACAGATTTGGGATTTGGCTTCAAAAGGGAAATAGACACCTAGAACATGCATATTTCCACCTTCTAGAATTTCTAAGGAAGTTTTGATCAGATCAGTTTGCTTAGGAGTGGAAACATGTGCATTCAGGGTGTCTATTTTCTTTTTGAAGCCAAGTCCCAAATCTCTCCCTTAATTTTGAAAAATGCCGTGACTCTGTTCTTTATAATTGGTTGTTGACTGGCCTGAAGGCACATGAATATACTTTAGCACATGGACCAACTCACTCTTGCAATTTGAACACTGGAAAATAATAGATTTTTTTTTTTGTCCATTTTTGTTGCTTCTTGGCCACCTCTACTTCACCATCATCACAGAGAAGATGGCCTTAGAAAATATTCTCTGTCTTTGCTGGCCAGATGCCGCAAGATGCTGTAGTTGCTTTCCCCTATCCCTTAGTGGGTGGAGTGGATTCCCACTGTGCAACTGGTTTGTGTATACTCCCTTGGAAGTAATTGGAGAAGGAATTTTGTTTTAAAACTTTAAAAAGCTAAAACAAACAATGTCCCACAGGGTGGGAGCGGACCAAGTCCCGTAGGCCTGCTTCATAACATGTGATGGTTGAATGGCAAACTTCCTGGGGTTTTCACTCCAAACACTTTGTTAAAAAATACTGTTAACATTTTAAGTTTTTAGTATTATGTTTAAGTGTTTGGATTTTTTTTTTTTTAATAAAAGCATATATTAAAAAAAACCCAACAAGTATGAGGTTATGGCTTTACTCTGACTGAAGTCTCCCAAGATAAGAACTGATAGTATTGATAAGCAGCACTTAGTAAGCAAACTTGTAAGCAGTCTCTAACAGCAAAGCTGGAGCAAAAGACTAACTATAAATGCCGTTGTGTGTGTATTTAAGAGGAACATCTTTCACTCCAAAGGTCTAGTGCTTCTGAGTGATTTGCAATCTTTTACTTGCAGAGTTGTTTTCAGTATCTGGTTTAATGGTGTCTGAGCTAATGGTACTAGTCTCTGCAAGTTCTTCTATAAATAGTATAAGCATTGTGTAATTTTAGTCATAGTATAGTCAGTTAAGCATGATGGTGAATTATATCTGGAAAAATTTAAATCATTTGATATCTTTATTTGAATTGGCATAGGAGGAACAAGTGACTAGTACACCCCTAGTTAATGTTTCTATATCTTCCAGAAAGAAGAGAATTGCTTTGTATCGCTTTGTTGAAATATACGTGGCAGTCGAGAAAAATTCTGGATTGTCCTGTTGCCCTATTAGTAGTGCATCTAGTACCTGAAGAATGCAGAATTACTGTATAACTGTTAATACAATAATGTCTCTAGTTTGAATAGTAACTTTTAAGTGCAAAATGAAGATGTATGTCCTTTTTTTGTTAGAACAGCAGTATTCCAGCCTGTGGTCTTCAGACCCCTACTATTCAGAAGCTACTTATATGCTACTTTCCATGGACTGTCTAGAAAAATAAACCTTTTAAGAAGGCTTTAATCCTTTTCATAAAGGGGACAGGGAGGATTCTTGGGGGAAAAAAAAAAAAAAAAAGGACTGAAAAATCTCTGATTTAACCTGTCAGAGTAGAGGAAACTTCCCTAGGTATTCATAGTATCAGAAGAGCAACGTGAAGCTTCTCTCTCTGTGCAATTGCTTTCTTCTTCGGCTGTTGTGTGCCCAGGTCATTCATTGGGAAAACCTGATGAATTGCCATATATGTTTTTTCTTTTTTTTCCATTCATGCCTGCTTCTTCCAGCCATGACTTCTGTCAGCTGGCTTGCGGAGTCTCTTCTTTCCCTCCCTTCCTCATCCGATGCTTGTCTTCCCTGGCTGAACTCCTCCATGTACAGCAAAGAGAAAAATAAAAACTTTCTCAAATCGCCCTTCACATCTGTTTCCACCTACCCTGGCAATTTCTGTTTCCACGCGGTTAAATGACTGGTTCAATTCCTCAGAAACATGGCCTTATTTGATCTTTGGTGACAGATTTTTCCTTTCCAGCCAAACAGCCAGTCATTTGACCTTGTCTTGAACAACCACTGCTCTTCAGCTGATTTTCCAGTTTCCTCAGTCCTCCTTCCCAGCCATCACCTCATCCTCTTTAAACGTTACTGTCCCTGTCAAACAGCCCTTTTACAGCCTCCAGTCTGTGGCTGTCCCGTGTACCTTGTCCTTGCTTCGGACTCTGCAGTCTTTTTGCTTGCTCTCCTCTATGAAAGTCTTTCTAATGAGCACACCCTCAATATCTGTTTCCTCCATGCCTCCATTCTTCTTCCTCTAGAGAAAATCTCATGACTGTACAAACTTCCTCCTTGAAAAATGTGTTCTCTTTTCTTTTCCAAACAGTATTGCTCCCTAGCACTGATTCTTAGCTTACTTGCTGTTTTTTGACTTGCTCTACATGTAAGATCTCTCCAGTTTTTCGTTAAAAAGGTAAGAGCTAGACGTGCTTTACTGTCAGTAATAGAGCAGGTATTCACTGGCTTTTGAGCCCATCTACCGCATACATCTCAGGTTCTCAGTGTTGTTGGTTTTAAGTAGGATTTTTTTTTAATTGTCCACTTACAGTGCCTGTCGTCATTTCTTCATCTGGATGCGTGCTAAATTAATGGGAAAGCTGCAATTAGTCAAACTCCAGATTCTGTACTTGCTGAGTGCTTCTAAGAAGATATATTTTTGCGATCTTCACAGCTTCTGTTCAATTTTTAGATGGCACTGGAGACTAAGACACTAAATCTCTAGATGGTTTTATTCTCTAAATGGTTTCAAAACTCCTGATGTTACAAGGGTTGCATTCATTTGAGGTACTGAGGCTATCATTCTCCTGATTATA